TACAATGCCAGGTTCAGTTCAAAAATCTAATAAACCAAACTTACGATCTCACACCTACATCAGACGAAAACCTACAACAATTCAAAGCATCAATCCTCGACTGTTGTCACAAGTTTATAAATACCAAACACAACGGAAGGTCCATCTTGACGAAGAGGCACCATAAGGAGCTGAAAGAACTTATGAAAAACGAAGAGATTATGATATTACGTCCTGATAAAGGCGGAGGAATCGTAATCATGAATCGCAAGGACTATATCAGTAAAATGCTGACTATACTATCCGATGAATGCAAATTCACAAAACCGATCAACGAGAAAAACATGACTGAACAAACCGAACAAAAGCTAACGGACACCCTTCGTAAGTTGAAGACTGAATCCTTCATCAGCAACGAAATGTTCGAATCCCTTAGACCGTCTGGCTCAAATATACCACGACTTTACGGACTCCCGAAAGTACACAAGAAGGGTATCCCTCTTCGACCGATCCTCGACATGACCAATTCACCCTATCACCGCACAGCTCAATGGTTAGCAGATCTACTTGAACCAATCAGAAAACAAGTTTCCTGCCACACAGTTCGAGATTCATTCGACTTTATTGACTCAATCGAAAACATCAACGTATCCAACAAGACAATGATTTCATTAGATGTCACATCACTATTCACAAACGTTCCACTGACTGAAACAATATGCTATATATGCGAACTTATTCACTCCAAAGGAATAAACATCGGTATACCCACCGAGCATCTTAAAGAACTCCTACTGAGGTGTACCCTGAATGTTCAATTCTCTTTCAACAACGAAATATATCGCCAAAAGGATGGTATAGCTATGGGCTCACCACTAGGCCCTTTGCTTGCAGATTTCTTCATGGCAAAACTCGAAAACACATGCCTGAAGAAAATGATCAATACCTTCGAAATCTACAAAAGATACGTCGACGACACCTTCATTATCGTCAACAACGAAGAAAATCTAGACGACATCTTAAAGTCGTTTAACAACTGCCACCCTGCAATTCAGTTCACGATGGAGAAAGAGTCCAACTCCACAATATCTTTTCTTGACGTCCAACTAACCAGAAGAGAACAGGATGGAACACTGAGAAGATCTATCCACAGAAAATCAACGTGGAACGGACAGCTTACTAACTTTCATAGTTGGGTACCACTATACACCAAACGAAACCTGATCCGTTCACTCAGCTACAGAGTTCGCAGAATTTGCACTCCGGACACCATAGAAGATGAACTGGACAACCTCAAGAGAATCCTCGTCGAGAATTGCTATCCAGAAAGATTTATTGCAAAATCTATGAATCCTAGACCAGAAAAGCCACCCATACTTAGCGTCAAGAAAAAACTACTCTACATGAACCTCCAATTCAATGGAGATCTATCTGCGGAAACACTAAAAAATCGACTGTCGCGCTCACTTAAGAAGACCTTCTTCGCAGCTGAACTACGACTAATCTTATCCACAAAACCTATGATTCATGTGAACGTGAAGGATAAGCTACCGCTGCTGGCCTCATCAATGTGCATTTATCAATTCACCTGCTCGTGTGGAGCCGGGTATGTCGGCCGTACCCAGCGCTCGCTTTCCAAACGTATCACCGAGCACTTACCAGCATGGTTTTACAAAGGAGAAAATCGATGCCCCGGCAGTTCCATCTTAGAACATCTGATAGAATCCGGACACCAAGCCACACCGCAAACAAACTTCAAAGTCGTCTACAGAGTAAGAAGTAGTCTCCCTAAAGGTGTACGAATCAGACTTCTTCAAACTGCAGAAGCAATGGCGATTCACTTGCTAAGTCCTGAACTCTGCATACAGAAGAAGTTCGTTCAATCACTACACTTGCAATGGACGTAATCTATCTTATTAGCCGACATGTAAATTCTACCTAATCTTTTCTTCTGTCTCTTCATTAGTATTATTTTGTCTTCTCAATTGTAACATTTTACATTTTCAACTTTCTTGTTCTCTACCGCCACCCGATTCAATCTCTACACCCCACTACCACTGTTACTGACTTGAACAATGCTCAGTTTCTAATCATTCATGTTACGTCATCCAACTTATTCACTCAATTTCACTTCTACTTAATCTCTACCTGTAATTACCTCTGTTGCTATCCTGACCTAAGTTGTAACATTTTAGCCAATTATATTACGTCATCTAGTTTTTTAACTCAGTCTTACTTTAGTTGCTGTCTGATTAACTTTGTCTCTATACTACATCATTCTTGTATTAACTAATCAATTATCTAAACTTGACAAACCTCATGTACACACACACACACACAAATATTTATATATAAATGCGATTGTACAGCTATGTGAATGAATTCGTCGAAAAGAGTCTCTTCGCTGAATGTCTTCTCTTTTTCATACAACTGGTAATTTATACACATAAGTATAAAACTTGGGCACTGTGGTAGAGTATAACTCCATTGTGGATAAGATTTTATTTTGATAAATCACACAGTGTTATGCCATAAGTAATATTAACTGATGACCACGTTTCGAGCACAAACTATTGCTGCTCATAATCATATCAAATCACTCACACAACTTACTTGCCTCATTTATATAAATGAGTAAAAATTGATGATTAGACATTTGAATAAAATCAACAGTATGGGATAATGTACATTCAGAAATAATAATATGAGTGTTATAAATCGAATACAATGAGATGGGAAATAAGACGAGTGTTTTTAAAGTCAAAATAAGTAACTTGTTAGAATGTTGTGATGTGCTTGAATTGGAATAGAATTTTAAGATTATTTATTATCCTCCTCTGATTTGACTGGCCCCGAGAAGATGAGCAATTGAGAAAAAAGCTCAGCGATTGCACTATATGCATTAAGACACAACCACACAAAATAGGGTGGGAGAGGGTTAAAATTCTAAGAAGTAATCTATGTCGGTGGAGAGAGAGATTGATTACTGAATCCTGTCTGGTTCATTAAGTCTACATCCAACACATGCAACAGAAATGACTCAATGCAAATATCAGAAATAGGGAAGATATTATTACCACCAGTCATTTCCAAACATGTATATAAATGAAGGAAAAGTTGTGTGAGTAGTGTCTTGATACGATTATGAGTGGCAATAGTTTGTGCTCGAAACGTAGTCATTAGTTAATATCACTGTATAACAATGTGTGATTTATCAAAATAAAATCTTATCCATGATGGGGTAATTTATACAGTTTCAGGAGGTGAAACCCCATCACAGTTAGTTTCCATTGGAAACCGAAATTATTCAGATAACACAAAATATGTGATCTGCATGATATCATGAATGGTAATCAAGAGAGTAGGCATAACTGGATGGAACAGCTTTTACACCAACTGATTGTACACTACTCATATCATCCAGTAGTGCTTGCTAGCCAGATAAACGAAGTGATTTAAGCACTGGACAACCGTTTCGCTCGTTTGGGGCAGAGTCGAACTCATTCAGCAAACTACTACTCATCTCAATTGAGCAGTAGTATATAGCGTCAATCAAAAGACACATTAACAATGATAGCATGTATCAATCAATCAATCAATAAAAAAAGAAAGTCACATGGAGAAAAGTTCAGCTTTCAGATCAACAAAATAATCAATACTAATACAAGTGGACTAAACAGTGAGAAAGTCTCCAGATACAACCAATCGCGTTTATGTATACGAGAAGAGATGGGTGGATAAACACTCATGGAGAATTCTAAAATCTCACTTTAAATTGAAGTACGCGCTGAAGATGTTGTTTAGAAAGACAAACAAAACACTCACAAATTAAACCATGTAGCTCAGGAGACACAACTATACAGGCAAGAATAAAGAATAGACACCAAAGTCAAATGACCTTTAACCGACTAATCAGATCTTTTATCATTCATAACGGATGCTGTTCATGAACTTCGTTGCAAGTTTCACTCAGATTTGGTTGTTGACTTCCGTGTGGAAAGTGGGTTGATAGGGGGAGGTCTAAAACCTGAATATATGGAGAGATAATGACGCTGCAAAAATATTGCCGGCCTATTGACGGCTACGCATTCACATGCAACCACTGTTATGTGAGGAAGTCTGTGCAAGTTGGTGATTTTTTAGATACTTTCTTCTCCAAATCGAAACTGTCCTCTAGTAAAATATTGCGTATATGCCACAATTGGCTACTAAAGCGACCAGTATCTGCTACAGCTGCAGAAACAGGGAATACAAAGATCTCAACAGTGCAGTGATATCACTACTGCCATGATATTGCGTCTCATAAGCGAAATGGGATCACCTCTGTACTTCGGGGATTTGGCATCGTCGTGCATATTGACGAAACTGTACTTAAAAAGCGAAAAATGATGAATCGTGGAAGGAGTAGAGCGAATCATGTTTGGGTGCTGGGGCTTTACGACACAAAACTTCGTAAAGGGTTGTTAGTAGAACGCATCCCGAACAGAAGTGCTGATATCTTAATACCAACTATACAACGACTAGTCCTCCCAGGAACTACTACCATTCACACAGACGAATGGAGAGGTTATTCTCAATTATCATCACCAGGCTATATTCACCACAAAGTCAACCATTCTTCTGAATTGGTGGATCCTGTAACAGGAAAACATACAAATTCCACTGAAGGATTTTGGGCTCACCTCAAAAAACGTATAAGAACGGTAAACGGTTCCCGAAATGATATGGTATATAGCCGTTTAGATGAGTTTTTGTACCAAAATTGGTTTAATATGTCTACAACTACTCCTATGAGAAACTGGGACCAGTTTTGCAGCATATTAGGGACACTAATCCTGTATAATTCATTTTTATTATATATATTACAAATACACTTAATTTTATGCCACTTTTTGACTGAAAGAATCTGATTGGTTGTTTTAAGGTCGTCTGTAGTTGGTGCCTATTCTTTACTGTTGCCCTATACCAATAAATTCAAAATTAACTTACAGCAAAAAACGCCGTAAAGAAGGAAAATTTACCTTTGAAGCTCGAGACCAAGCTTGATCAGCTAACCGCCGACGGACAAGTATACTATCTCGACCGTTCAAGTCAGGAACTGGAATTGGCCAACGAGGTATTCCAGGAGAAGAGTTACTGACTTCCGCCTTAGATTTTGGTAGATATGGTAGTAGAGATGCTTCTAATTCTAGAAACACAGGTGCTACATCACGTGTTACTATGGTTAGAGCTATTCCTCTTTGACCAGCACGTGCAGTTCTACCAACACGATGTCTATACGTTTTCTCAGATAATGGTACATTGTAGTTTATAACAAATTCCACATGAGGAATGTCTAGTCCCCTGAAAATTGAAACATAAAGGAAAAATTATTTGTCAATATAGTGAAAAATGGCGAATGATTGAGGATCTATGAACTAACTATGCGTTTTTACATAATCAGAAAGTGAGATCACTTGAAAATCAGACATACACTACACACTGACGAGTTCCACCGAAATTTGATGAATTCATTAAATCCTGCTTTATTAACCATTATTGCTTGTTTTAAAATATCTTGTATACGTTGGATTTACGCCGTACTATAACTGTTAACTGATATGAAGTACTTTTGAACCTTAAAATTTTAAAAATTTACACAGACAGTCAACTCACCCTCTGTTCCTAAAGCCAGCACCTCGGGGAGCACGTTTATTTGCATTTATACCTCACATACTCGTATTCCATTGGACCGGATGGATCTTTTCTACTTGAATCAACTCGATACGATATGTTGGATTCCTTTCAAATAAATAATGAACAACTGAGTTAGTATTCAAGTGTTGGTTTGTAGGGATTTGATTGGTTACAGAATTTTCATCATGAGCTGACATTAGTTAGAGAACCATTGGAAAACCTGGGAGTACTGGACAGACGAAGAGTCCCAAACTAGGACGAAACCGCTGTCCAGTACTCCCTGGTTTTCCAATGGTTCTCTAACTAATGTCAGCTCATGATGAAAATCCTGTAACTTAGTTAGTACCTTCATAAATGCGTCTAAAACTTCCTTGAATTGTATCCATGCATAAAATACACAGTAGAGCATTATCCTTTTGAATATAGCTGTTCCATCATACAATATAGATGACACATTTCGTGAAGTAGAGGTAGTAGTAGGAGAACTTTGCAACATCATTCAATGGTTTTAACGATTCCTAACGTGCACAACACAATGATTTCAAGTAAATGAACAATAGTTTGTATTTCATTGTTGACATACCACTGTTGTGACCTAGGTAATTTACTTGATTTATGCTAACGTAGTATGCACAATTCCCACAGGTCATTAAACTGACAACTTAAAAAGTGGATCAGTTAATACATACATATATCTATATGTCCTAATTAAAGGCACATTAAATGTTTAGATATTGTAGTTGAATTATATTCGCTTAGTGAGCAAAAATGCATACATCCTATTTTAGAAGTAAAATAAATGTATCCAAATTATTGTTGATTTATATTCACTTACTAGACATTCTCATACATCTCAATGTATTTTAAATACCACCAATGCATCCAAATAGCGTGTGACTATCACACTACACTCACACCAAAAAATTAACACGCCATTATATTATGGTAAGGTAAGCCTTAAATTAAACTGACTGTAAATTTCCGTGTCAAAATAAAAAGATTGTCGCTTTAACTTATATTTTAGACTAAATAAGAAGCCAGCTAGCCAACAGCCAATTAAAATCTGCCTAAATCTATTTTCTCTGTCTTATTCGATCATGTGTGCTAGTTATTTTCTATATACTTTTGTATTGAAGAGTTAATTCACTCTTTCGTACTTTTCCACTCACACTCTTGTGTGACAATTAATTTTCCTTGTTTGGAAGTGCACGTATCCATTCGTGAACGTGAGGGTCTTCTGATTTTCCTCTTCGGGTCAGGGTTATCGTCCATTATATCTTGTTAGCCATATTTGCACTTGGTCACACCATAACAATAATACACAGTGAAACTTTTTGCTCACCTGACTCTTTTGGTGATCAACTTAACAGCACCAAAGATGGCTAAGATTAGCACATGCAGTTAGCACTGGAGATTTTGTCGAAAGGGACAACAAAAGCTTCGCAGGTAAACCATCCAGCTGGGAAAATTCAACATTACCACAGTAATATTATGAGCAGTGTGGAATAATTTTATCATCCATTTGAATTAGGTGAGTGAATATATAAATTACCAATATGAAACTTAGTACAGATAATGAATTTTATGTCTTAAAGAAACAAGAAGCAAGTTTTAACAGAGCTGTTCTGTAGTATTGATCTAGTTGTATACTCATCAAATTACGAGGGTAGTTATCACTGAAGTTCGTGTGTTTCGAGTAATTTCAATGATCAGGTATACTTGAATGTACGAAATTATAAGCTGCTGCTGCTGCTGGATTCAACATAGAACTTGGCACCGAAGTGCAGCAGTTCGAGTTGCCACGTTCCAAATAGCACACAAAGGTAGACAAGAAAATGAGTGAAGAGAATCAGTAGAATTTAGACAAGTATAAGAGTGAAACAGAATGAGTAATGGTAGAAAGGAACATGAAAGATTAGAGGGACTGAATACATCTGCGCCATTGACAAAGATTTTGAGCCATATCACCTAGTGTCTCCAGCCATTGATTCTTTGAGTCCCGAGAGCCCCAAACCAGAAATCTGCATCTCCCTATCTGACTCAGTTTAACTGTCAGGGATTTCATGGATTGATGCCATGTTTTTGTTTGGCCACCACTTACTCTTTTCCAACCTGCACCTATATCAGCTAGTAATGCCCGTCGGGGGAGACGATGGTTAGGCATGCGCATCACGTGACCTAACCATCTCAATCTATGCAACTTCATAGCCTCTTCGAGTGATTTTCCCTCTTTGCCCAACACTTTACGCCTAACGTCAACTTTACTTACCTTATTATACCACCTAACGCGAGAAAGAGATCGTAAACATCTGTGGTCAAAAACAGACAATCTCTTCATGTCTTCCGCTCTCAATGGCCACGTCTCACCGCCATATAGAAGGACGGAGCGAACTGATGAGCAGTATACACATCTCTTGGTTGATAACCGGATGTCACGCCTACGCCAGAGACGGTGTAAGTTAGCGAAAGCAGCCCGAGCTTTTTGGATCCGTGCTGTGCTTTCGTCACCAATCAATCCGTTGGTGCTGATGCAACTTCCCAAATAGGTGAAGTGGTCAACATGTTCTATCACTTCACTCCCCATCACTAAGCTAGGAGTTGACGTAGTCCAGTCCTATAGCAGCATCTTACATTTTACAGGGGCGAATCGCATGCCAAACATACGAAGATTGCTGCTCAAGGTGTTCAGAAGAGCTTAAATTATAAGCTATAAATGTCATATACAGTTTACTGACGCCACCAGCGTTATCACACTTTACAGTAATTATAGTGTTGCGAAAATAGCTCAACGATGATTACATAAGTGACATTTCCGGCTGGTGACCATTTTCGCTTGAATTTCCCGACTTTTTGAATAGTAGTTCACATAAGGAAGTATATCCTTTGATAATACGAATGGCAATTAGCATTCCTTCTAGTCATTTGAATTGTAAGGAATATGAAACACCTAATCAGTTGTCGATCAGTATCTGTAAGTATGGAATGTGCTTTGCTATGTCTAAATGCAAAGTACTGTTACAATATTTGCAGGAGCTTGTACCTTCACTCACTCCTGCAGGTAAACCCTTTGAAGTTGTCGAGAAGTTCGTGTATCTAGGTAGCTGTGTGAGTGGTCGTAGTGTGACGGACGAGATTTCTAACCGTATCATGAAAACTAGGGTGGCATACGCCAATTCGATCCACCTCTGGGGCCGTCGCGACGTTATCATGGCTGTTGACAGTCAGGTACACAAAATGCCTCAGTGCGCTCTGTCTTGATCTAAACTTATGGAACCTGGCCTCTCCGAGTTGAAGATGTGCGGTGACTCTACGTATTCTATCATTGTCTCCCTCGTAGAATTACTTGTGTTCGACGGCATCATCTTGTGAGTAATTCAGAGGTTTGACGGCGTGTGTCTGAACGCATTGAAGATCACCATTTGTAAAGTGTCGTCATCTAGAAACACTAGCTTCGGTGGCTTGGACATGTGCTAAGAGTTTCATTCCAGAGGTTTCCATGCTGGTCTCTGTTCGCTAGTCCTGGGGCTGGCTGGATGGAAAAAGCAGATAGGTGATCAGCCTACGACGTGGCGTTGTGGAATCAAGGGTATTTGTGCTAGGTCAGCATCAGTTGGGGTCCGAGAGACAGTTTGAATCGGTGTCTTGATACGTTATCGGATATGGCCAAGAATCACAATCAATGGCGAATACGCTACAATTTCCTTCTTTCATCCCTTTTCGACAGTAATTCGATGAGTGTTTTTTGGTCTTGTTAAATATGGTTCCTTCCTTTCTTGATGAAGTCTTCTATTCACTCTCGCCCTCTTCGGTTTATATATTGTTATTTTACCATGATTGTGTGTGCCTTTACTTCTTGGTGCCTATATTGTACCAATCTGAATGTAATACAAACTGGTCACTCTAATTTCACACGTTCACAAACGTCAACACGACAAAAGTTATATCAGCTGTTCTAATATGATACTCTAATTGTTAAGTGATTAGGAACAATCAGCAGGAAGCCCTGGACTTCAGTTTCGTTCTGGTTGGCAGTCACCAAGGCGTATCTACAATCTGGAAGGAACTCATGTGCCTTTGGAGATCCGAACCCGTGTCACTCAGTGCTGTAGCCTGTGAGATGTTACCACTGAGCAGTTTGATCTCGCGATTAATCTCCTGCAGGATTGTAATGAATACCATGGTTGGCCGCTAGGTAATAATCAGTGTCAAGCCTTCACTCCTTGGGTTGGTGCAGAGTGAGCTCAGTATTAACGTCTCTTAGACTGCAGCAATGGACGACGCAGGTTCAAATCTCAGAGGGGACATGAGTTCCTTTAAGACTGCAGATACGCCTCGCTGACTGGTGAGTGCTGACAAGCACACATGATTGGACGTGGGCGTGTTAACTGGAAACTCAAAGCTCAGAGTCCTCTGTTCTATATGGAATGTGGAGGAATGAAAAGAAAGCAAACGAAAGCGAATATAAAAGAAGCTTTCTTAAGCATAAGTATACAACCAATAAGTATTTGTCTCTCTACCTTTTGCTTTTTTAATTTCTGGAAAATTCCCATTGAGGCATATAGGAAAATCAAAACAAGTGATTCAGTGAAGAGACTCGTTTCAAGGAATTTATTATCAAGCTGTACAATTGTATGTGTATAGTTTTTTATATTAAGAAATTTTTTCCTTTGAGGAAGTTGAAGCACATGTGTAAATACATGAAATAATAATAGACTTCGCTGCTATTAATTCTTTCTGGCCATTTAATCTTTAATACGCAGTCAGCGAGGGTAGCTGTTGATAAAAGTCTGCAACCTGTTGGAAATGCTTCTCTTGATACAGTGCAAGTTTCTGATCCATGTAGAAGAACTGACTTCACATGTGTGTGTGTTGAAAATCCAAGTCTTGTTCTCTATGTTGAGTGCAGAAGATTTCCAAACTGGTTTCAGGTTGATGAAGGCGTATCTTGCATTTCCGATTCCGGCTTTGACGTCCCCATTCATTCCATCTGTTGTTGAAACGATGCTTACTGCCTAGATAAGTGAAGTAAGTAACCGTTTTCAAATTTCTCCCGTTGATAGTGATTGGTGCAGGTTATTGTTGTCTCTGTTGATTGGTTATCTTCATCAACCCTGTCTTCTCTGTGTTCACTCAAAGTCCTGTCATCGCTGCTTCTTCAACTAGTTTGTTGATTTTCATCTGTTAGTCTTCACGTTTGAGTGGCATTCGAAGTACGTGGCAGACAGACACCCATTTAGTCAATGACTCTGGAGTATTTCACTACTTAGAACTGGTAGGTTCATCAGCATGAAAGTTTACGCCTACATAGTATAACTTGCTAGTGTTTGTTTTTTATCCGGTAGCCTGACTGATCAATGAATGAAATAATTTAATAATTCCCATTGTAACATTAAAAACAATATTCAGCGAAGAGACTGTTTTCAACGAATCTGTTATCAAGCTGTACAATCGTATATGTATGGCCTATTTAAGAAATTGTATTCTGTGAGATAATTTAAACCAAGGTGTGAATACTTAAACCAATAATAGTCTGAAATACAATTAAAATGTTTGTAATTATGATCACAGTTAAATATCAAGTGGCAAAACAAACAATGTCATATATGGAATAATTTATAGGAATATATAGAATAGTTCATAGCCAGTTTACACCGTCTCTGGAGTAGACATGATATCCGACTATCGACCAAAGGGCGTGTGTACTGCTCAGCAGTCCGTTCCGTCCTCCTTTATGGCTGGCTGTGAGACCTGGCCATTGAGAGCAGAAGACATGAAAAGATTAGCTGTCTTCGATCATAGGTGTCTGCGTTCTATCTCCCGTGTGAAGTGGTATAATAAGGTGAGCAATACTGAGGTTAGGCGTCGAGTGCTAGATAAGGAAGGGAAATCAATCGACGAGGCTGTGAAATTACATCGACTGAGATGGTTAGGGCATGTGTTACGCATGCCTGTCATCGCCTTCCTCGACGGGTGATGTTAGATGACATAGGGTCAGGTTGGAAAAGAGCCAGTGGTGGTCAAACCAAAACATGGCACCAGTCAATGAAATCTACAACAGTTAGTCTAAGCCACGTAGGAAGGTGTAGACAACCTGACTGGTTGGGGTCCTCGGGACAGTAAAAACCAATGGTTGGAAACAATTGGTGACATGGCTCAAAATCGTTCTCAGTGGCGCAGATGCATCCACTCCTTGTGACTTATGATTTCAAATGAAACTGTTTTGTTCTCCGTTATTACTATACCTTTGTCTCACACTTCTGTTTACTGTCTCTAATATGCATTTCTCCTACTTTCTTCTTTTCCTTTGTGTGCTACATGGAGTGTGGCGACTTGAACTGCCGCACATATGTGCAAAGTTTTATGTCGAAAACCGACCGAATTCATAGGATGTATAGATATTGGAGCGTCGGTGGCATAGCGGTTAGGACGCTCGCCGACCATGCACATGGTCCGGGGTTCGATCACCGGCCGACGCACCCCTTTACCTCGCTAAGCCAGAAATAATGCTGGTGAAGAGAAAAGGTTGGGCATGAGGCTAGCAACTCTATCCTGTAAAAATAAACACTGCTGCAGAAACTTCAAGCCCTTAGCTTGAGGCCCTATGTTCCACTGGGAACGTGAAGGAAAAAAAATAGATGTTGGAAGGGGGTGCATAATTATAGGCTTGGTAGGTGGCTGAGTTGTAGAGCGCTGGCCGACCACGCACGTCATCCGGGGTTCGAGTCTCGGCCGGCGCATCCCCTTACCTCCCTTAACCGGTCACACTCCCAACAAGAAGGAAGGTTGGGTGTGCGAGGCTAGCAACCTCACCCGGTAAAAACACCAATTCTACTGGGACTTCAAAGCTAAAGCTTGAAGTCCCCCTATGTTTCACTCGGAACGCTAAGGGATAAAAAAATGGCAAATGTAAAACTTTACATAACATCATATGAAAGTTGATAGGATAGAATTCAGCGTTGCAAACATTTTTTTGATTTAGAATGACAAGTGGGCCAAGTGTAAACAAATCAAAGTGAGAATAATAATCGTAGTAATGAGGCAAAGGTAGCATAGATTGACTGAATAAACAAAAGAAATAAAAATTAATAATAATGAAAATAAATAAATAAATACATAAATGTGTCTATCTGTCTACAGCCAAGGCAGAAACCGGGATTGTACATATCTCTTTTTCCCACTAAGGTTTGGCTTAAATTCGTAAATAGCCAGCGCCTCTGCTCTCCTTAAAAGTTTGCAACGAAGAAAACGTGGCAATTTAGCGTGAATTCGATAGATGATCTAAGAAAAATCATGGTCAGGGTTGGTATAGTGACAGAAATCGATCAAGTGTTCTAGAATAGAGCTTCGCATCTCCTTCCCTTCTCCCTGGTAAATCATGCTGGAATATGTTCTCGTATCGGTGTGGGGAGCGTTCTGTGGCTACATATGTATATGATTGTACAGCTTGATACTGAATTTATTGGAAAGTTTCTTCACTCAGTCACTTGTTTTGATTTTGGTTTTCAGTCATACTCATTACATGAACCTCGGTGGGTGCGTACTGATAAAGAGTCCCAAACTAGGCTGACGAAACAGCTGTCCAGTACTCCCTGTCGGTTTTCCAATGGTTCTCTAACCAATGTCAGCTCTTGATGAAATTCTGTAACCAATCAATCAAATCAAAACACTTGAATATTTTATATTAAAAACTAAAGTTGACCTTCCATTTGTTAACATGGTTCCATATTAGAAAATAGTCCCCCTGAATGAATCAAGTTACCATTGTGTATATGCTCTATATATGAAGGATGATTTGAACATCGTTTGAAACATCTACTTTCATGTTTTTTGTTTAACTTCAGTCTATCATTCGTTCTGGATTAATGCTCCTGGAGTCGTTATGTGGTTCAGATTCATGTAAACGATCTATTGCTAATTGGTCACTTCATGACGTGACTGGTCCACAGCTTATTATAGATGTGTATGAAGGCCATATCAAAAATCCTATTGTTGTAAGGTATGCAGCTGGTGTAGTTGCCACCATCACTCTACGACAACCTGATCTTGGCAAATTGCTTGTTGAAGCTGGTGTATCTGCATATCTTATTAAGGTATATTTCTTCGTTTATTAGAATTTTAAGGTATATATGTGACTATAAATATTTGGGTAAATGTTTTTGGCATTTCTTGTTGCTGTTATTGTTATTGTTAGTTTTAGTATTTGAATAATAACAAAATAGTTTGAAGGGATATATGTATGTGTAATGTGTTTGCTATTTTATGTGTGCTGGCCTTCATAATATGACGAGGTTAAATTTTAAGCATCAGAATAAACCAACGGACAATTGACCGATCCCATTAAAAAGGCGAATTCTACCCATAATTATGCGTAGAGAGGCACTTGGAGAGATGAATGAAAACGGAGAACTCTTCGCTGACTTCTGTGCCTTCAATGAACTAGTGATTGGCGGTAGTGTATACAAACACAAGGCTACATGGGTGTCACCAGATGGGCGAACCATAAACCAAATCCACTTCATCTCAATATACTGCTCAAGGAAGTGGAGACTCAGCTTACTGGACACAAAAGTAAGAAGAGGAGCAGACGTTGGCTCAGACCACTATCTCGTACAAGGGACAATCCAAATCAAATTGAAAGCTTTCAAAGAAACAGGAACTGCAGATAGACCACAAGTCAAGTTCAACACTCAAAAACTGAAGGATCAGACCACAAAGGATATCTTCACTGCAATCATTAGGAAAAAGGCGGAGACACATATCAACATTAGCGAAGAGGTCAGCGTCGAAAAACACTGAGATAACCTGAAAGCGGTGGGGATTCAAACCTGCATGGAAGTTCAAGGCAGAAAGAAGAGACGGGACAAACAATGGCTCACTATGGACACATGGAGACTAGTAGAAGAGAGAAGGGTGATGAAACAAAAGATTATCCAGTGCATCGACGAGCAACAAAAACAGGAGTTGAATGCAAGCTACAATACACTGAACAAAAGAGTAGAGCAGAGTGCCGGGGAAGACAAAAGAAAATATTATGAAGCTATGGCAAGTGAAGCAGAACAAGCTGCAGGCAAAGAATACCCGCAACATCCTACCAAACAGGAACGTATATGTTACTTGAATTTCAATAGTTTTTGCCTGATTAACAACAACAGAGCACTAGTCAAATGACAGGCATCAGTGACAAATCAAAGGAGCAACTGCAGGTGGTAAGAGTGTCTACGAGACAACATCTATCTACAAAGATTTGTCAAGAGATTTGGAAAAAATGGAAAAGAGGATAATAAAAAAAGACACAGGACCAGATGGAATCCCCGCAGAATCATTGATAATGGACCCAGAGAAGTCAGCGGAATTGATGGCACCACTACTGGAGAAAGTGTGGAAAGAGGGCAAGGTACTCGATGATTGGAAGAAAGGCTACTTATTCAAACTGCCAGAGAAAGGAGACCTAGGTCAATGCAGGAGCTGGCACGGCATTACGCTCCTGTCCATCCCAACAGCTATCTGCCGTATTACATGGTACTGCCATAGGTTGAGTAGGATCGAGGTTAGGCGTTGAGTGTTGGATAAGGAGCGAAAGTCAATCGATAACGTTGTAAAGCTACATCGATTGAGATGGTCAGGAGACGTGCTGCGCATGCCTAATCTACACCTTCCACGGAGAATGTTAACTGGAATAAGATCAAATTGGAAAGTAGCTCTTGGTGGTCAAACAACAATTTGGAATCAACTCATTATATCTTTGACAGTTAGTTTGAGTGCAGACTGGTTGGGTGGGGTCCTCTGGATTCCAAGACATTTGGTGATATAGCTGAAAGATGTTCTAAATAGGGAAGATACTTTCATTCCTTGTGATCGGTCATATCGATTAAACCCTATTGTGGTTCCATGTTACTATTCATACTCTTTCACATTCCTGCTTATTGTCGTTCTTTCGAATCTTTTTTCTCTCTCTCGCTCTCTGCCTCTATCCTTTGTCTTCTTTTGTGTGCTACATGCAGTGTGACACCTCGAAATGCTGCTTATCTGTGCAAGGTTGTCTGTTGAAGCCACTACTAATTCTAGGTTTAGGAGTTATCTACAGTTTAGAAATTTAAACACAGAATTCTTACTTTTCGCACTTTTTATTCATCACACAGCTGTTTATAGGTTTTCTGTAAACTAAATTATATTGTGCTTCGGTGGTTCGGCGGTAGAAATGCTCACTAACCGTGCAAATGGTCTGGGGTTCGATTCCCGACCTTGTCTGGCCGGTTGTGGAGCTGCTAAAGAGGGGGGCTTGGATGTGAGACTAGCAACTCCACTCTCCGTAGTAAAACACCACTGCTACTGAAACTTCGAAGTGGAAGCTCAAAGCCCTATATTCCACTCGGAACGTAAGCAAAGGTGTAGTGAAAACCATTAACAGTTCAATATTGGACTATCTGGTGTAAACCGGCCACAAAACCAGCTAGCATTGAAGAATCCTTCTCTATCATCTACCGGGTGCCTAATAAATTGCCAAAAACATCGAAGCACTGCATGCTCCAAACAGCAGAGGCTATTGCAATTCACCTCAAACAACCAGTGCTCTGTGTGCAATAGAAGCAAGTGCAGCACATACTACTGCCCTGGCCTTCAGTAGAGACTAGAAATTCATAAATCTGTAATTTTATCTTTCCTATTTTTTCTGACACTCAGTGTGTATTGTTATTTTCATGCTATTGAGCTGTAATCTACTGATATTATTGATTCGATGTTATTTAAACAGAATTAATGTTGTTCATAACACTAATTCATTCATTCACTATGATGTGTATATATAACTGTAGAACCTGATGATGAAGAGGTTATCGAATAGAGTATTCTCTGTTCAGCATCCATCGTTTTGAAAATAAAATAAGTAATAAAAAATCACATTACGCAACAGTATCGTCTCATCATTAGATAAAAGTGCCAAATACGTCCGCTGCACGTTTCTCGACTTCACTTCTGCTTTCGACTCTGTACCCAGATGTGTCTTGCTAAATAAGCTCTCTATGACAAAAACTGAGCCCTGAGTCACTAACTGGTTGCATTCCGACTTCTCTAACAGAATGCAGTGCACCGTACACAAAGGTAAATCCTCCTCTGCTGCGCTCACTGAAGCTGGTGTCCCCCAAGGTGCTGTACTCTCCCCACTTCTCTTTTCTTTCTTTCTACATGACTTACCATCTTCAAATGACATTAATTTTGTCAAATATGCTGACGACCTGACAGTATCTTTGCCTGTCAAATGTCAAAGTGATTGCTCTAAACTTAATGGCTTTCTGTCAGAAATCAGACAGTGGTCCAAGGAAAACGGTCTTACCTTAAACCCCTCCAAATGCCAAACAGTCAATTTCACCTTGAGGCATAAATCCGACCTAAACAAACTGGTTGGCTCTCACGAGGTGTGCAACATAGATGGCACTGAAATAGAGACCAAGTCGGAAATTAAATACCTAGGCGTCATTCTATCTGCTGATCTCTCCTGGTCGTCTCATATCTTGGTGATTTCTAAGAAAATATTCCGTCTTACCTTCTACATTAAGAAGTTAAAACATTCTAGTATAACCCAACCCCTACTCCTACAATTCGTTAATTCTCGCATTCTGCCTATTATTCTCCATTGTTCCCCCTTAGTTTTTCCCGGGCTACTGAAGAAAGACTATAACATATTACACAGGATGTTAAAGGTTGTCAGCAGGGTAAGCAACGTGCCACTCAACCAGCTTGTTAATATTCTGGTTGACAGGCACATGGGCTCATGTGAAAAATGGGCCAAATCCATTTTATCTAACTCACACCACCCTCTTCACTCACAACTCTCCCCTTGCATCTCATCAGGCAAAATCAGAAGCCTATATAGAAAACTATATGCTCGCACTAGCAAGTACAAAAACTCAACCATACCCTATTTAGCTTGTGTTCTGTGAGATAAAGAAAGCATTAGGCGTGACACTTATAATTCATTAAATAGTCAGTAGAACAACTGGACCTTGTCTTTCCAACTCTAATCATTTATAGGTACAACATTTTCTTTCTTTCTTTTCCTTTTCTCTCTCTTTTTTTTCCGTTGTTTCTTTCTCTCGCTTACGCCAGTAAATATGACAGAACCTACTTTTCTAACACCTTCAAACACTGTTCAGCTTTGGCTTAGCTACCGACATGCCAATATGTTGTTGTCGTAATGAACTGAGATTTCCTCAATCTATGTAGAATTCTATTTATTGATAATGTACTAACTGGATGCAATACTGTAGTAAAAATGCAGAGAATTCCATTCTGTATCACATGTACTGTTTTGGAATAAAGCAAATTATTATTATTATTATTGCCTAACAGTTATCACTTGTATCTCCTTTATAGTCTGTATCTGAATTGTGATAAAGCCACTGTTATTACTTCACTTACTTTGTTTTGTAGACTCTTGATTTGTATATGTCAAACACTACAACTGTTCGAACTGTATGCAGAGCTATACGTAATATTGTCTCAAGATCACCAGAACTACGAGCTTCTTTTTTAACATTGGAATATGGTACAGGTGATACTGATCTAGAAAAATTATTGAATGTAGCTCTAAAAAACCCTTCTTGTTGTGATCAAGCTAAAGCAGCTCTTCGTGATCTAAACTGTGCAGTTGAACTTCAAGAACCTTGGAAAGGACCTCTGAAGTCTGTTGTGATGGATAGATAGTATTTGATTTTGTTGTATAGACATTTTTAATGAAACACCGATGAATTACTGACTTGATTTGTATATTTCTTTTACTGTCAAAAAAAAATTGTGACTAAGTTGTCTTTTACTGAATCTTAACCCGACCGAAAGCTATGCTACCTTGACATGGTGGTCGGGCTTGAACACCGCAATGACCCAAAAGCTATACTGGCTGAGACTTATATCGCTTGAGGTCCTACCATGCCAGAAAGGTTGTTTGGATAGTGGTTAGACAAAAAGGAGTTACCCAATCCAATTGCTATGACCCAAACAAAATCACAAAATATCATGCCGGATCGGTCGAGGCCCGGATTAACAACGACCGCGCTTCCTGCTGCCGTGTCACAGGGCAGAAGTGATAAATATGCTA